AGAAAGATGAGGCTTTCTGCTCCCGTAAAGATTTACAGCCTTGGAAACCCTGTATAGGGTCACTATAAATCGGAACCGACTCCACGACACATAACAGCTACAACAACAACAATCCTTAATACTTAGATGGGTATGTATTTTGGTATTTGTTATGCTTTCTGATTGCCTCCAGGTAGATGTGATTGGGAAATGGGCTTCTCTTTTCACTCTTCTTCTTGAGAAATTTCAAGATGCCACAGTTGGTCATTTTGACGTAACTTTGGGTTTAATTTTTGGCTTATTTCCTTTTTTGTCTGCTTGTCCCACTCCACAATCCCCGTTTAGGCCTTTTTTCTAGTTGTAAACAGTTCAGGGCCGACTGTAGTTTTAATTGGAAACTGTCTCTTTAAATTTCTAGGAGATCTGTGTGCATGCATAGTAGAACCCTCCGAGGATGGGGCTGGGGTGTCCACTAGCTCAGCATCCCTATAGTCACCAGAATGGAGGTACGCAGACAGCAAGGGACCAATGAACAGATACCAAAAGAAAAGAATATCCACACCTTTATCTCCGCGGTTCTGCCAGGCATCTGTGGATGCTCTGATCTTTCCCCTACTTGGTGGTTCCTGGAGCAGTTTAGCATCCCGAACTAGGAAGCAATGAATTTCTTGCTTCTGCCACAAATTCTCCCAGCTGTAAGCCTTCCAACCTTATAAATATTCCTTTATATGTGGTTCAGAGCTCTGGGACCATCCCCTAAGCCTGATTGGTTGGGTATTCTGTGTTGTTGCTGACGGAGCTCCTTATTGCACTTCCACCTGATCCGCCATCTTGTTTGTTCTCCCACAAATACTTTTTTAAAACAACATAAAAGGTTTTTTACATACACATGAACCTCACCAGATGGAATAAACAGGAATCAAATTGACTACATCTGTGGGAAAAGATGGTGGAAAAAAATCAATATCATAAACCAAAACAAAGCCAGGTGCTGACTGGGGAACAGAACATCAATTGCTCATGTGCAAATTCAAGCTGAAGCTGAAGAAAGTTAAAGCACTTCATGAGAACCAAAATATGACCTTGAATGTATCATACCTGAACTACATCCCCAAAACAGAGTTGATGCATTAGACACTAATGGTCAAAAACCAGAAGAGTGGTGGGATGACATCAAGACATCCTACATGAAGAAAGCAAAATGTCATTTAAAAGACAGAAAAGAACAAAATGGATGTCTGAAGAATATCTGAAACTTGCTTTTGAGTGTAGAGAAGCTAAAGCAAATAGAAGAAATAAGGTAAAAGAGCTGAATGGAAGACTTCAAAAGACAGCTCAAGAAAACAAAGTCAAATATTATAATGAAATGTACAAAGACCTGAAGTTAGGAAACCAAAAGGAAAGAATGTGCTCAGCATTTCTCAAGTTAAAAGAACTGAAGAAAAAATTCAAGCCTCATCTTGCAATATTGGAAAATCCTAAAAGCATCAAAGGAATATGGAAGGAATATACAGAGTCACTATACCAAAAAGAAATGGTCAATGTTCAACCATTAAAAGAGGTACCATATGACCAAGAACCAATGATACTGAAGGAAGAAGTCCAAGTTGCACTGAAGGCACTAGAGGTGGTCACTCTTCTATGCCAAGAAATTTGGAAGACAGCTACCTGACCAACTGATTGAAAAAGATCTATATTTGGGTCCATTCCAAAGAGAAGTGACCCAATGGAATGCAGAAATCATCTAACAATATCATATCACATATAAGTAAAATTTTGCTGAAGATAATTTAAAAATGGTTCCAATAATACATTGATAGATAACTACTAGAAATTCAAGCCAGATTCAGAAGAGGACATGAACTAGGGATAGATATCACTGCTGATATCAGATGAATCTGGGCTGAAAGTAGAGAATACCAGAAAGATGTTTACTTGTGCATTATTGACTATGAAAAAGCTTTTGATTGTGAGGATCTCGACAAACTATGGATAACATTGCGCAGAATGCGTTTTCCAGAACACTTGAATGTGTAAATGAGGAACCTGTACATAGACCAAGAGGCAGTTGTTAGAATAGAACAAGGGGATACTAAATGGTTTAAAATCAGGAAAGGTGTATGCTACGGTTGTATTCTTTCAACATACTTATTCAATCTGTATGGTGAGCAAATTATCTGAGACATTGGATTATATGAAGAAGAACATGGCATCAGGATTGGAGGAGGATTTATTAAAAACCTGTAATATACAGATGATGTATCATTACGCTTACTTGCTGAAAGCGAAAAGGACTTAGATACTTACTGAGAAGATTCGAAAGTACAACTTCCATTATGGATTGCACCTAAATGTAAACAAAACAAAGATCCTCACAACTGGACCAATAAATAATATCATTATACATGGAGAACAGATTGAGGTTGTTAATGACTTGATTTTACGTAGATACACAATCAGCCCTCATGGAAGCAGCAGTTAAGAAATCAAATGTAGTATTTATTGTGTTAGACAAATCTGCTGCACACGACTTCTCTAAAGTGTTCAAGAGCAAAGCTGTCAGTTTGAGGAGTAAGGTGCACCTAACCCCAAGCCATGGTATTTTCATTTGCCTCATATGCATGTGAAAGTTGGACAAAGAATATGGAAAACTATAGAACTGATGCATTTGAATTATGGTTTGGAGAAGAATATTAACAGTACCATGGACTGCCAGAAGAATAAGTAAATCTATCTTGGAAGAAGTACCTCCAAAATGTTCATTAGAAGCCAGGATGGTGAGACTTTGTCTGTCATACTTTGGACATGTTATCAGGAGGGACCATTCTCTGGAGGAGGACATCAGGCTTGCTAAAACAGAGCGTCTGCAAAAAAGAGGAAGACTCCCACACCCAAGGAGATGGATTTATTGACACAGTGGCAGCAGCAATGGACCCACGTGAGCAACAGTTGTGAGGATGGCACAGGACCAAGCAGTGCTTCGTTCCGTTGTGTGCAGAGTCACTATGAGTTGGAACCCACTCTGTAGCACCTAATAATAAATAATAACTGATGTTTCAAGAGGGCAGTGGTGGAATTCTCACCTTTTACCTAAGAGACTGGAGTTCGATTCCAGCCAGTGTTCCTCCTGTGCAGCCACCACCTGCCTGACATTGGAGGCTTGTGTGCAAGCCTATGATGCTGAACAGATTTCAGTGAACCAAGATGGACTAGGAAAAAAGGCCTGGCAATCTACTCCCAAAAATGAGCCAAGGAAAACTCTATAGATTATAATAATCAGATCAGCAACCAATCATGGGAATGGTGCAGGATCAGACAGTATTTTGTTCTGTTGAGCATGAGGTTGTCATTCACGGCAGGTAACCATTGAGGTCTCGGGACTGCCAAGGTAGGAGTACAATATGGTCCCTGTGGCCTAGGTTCATCCAGAAAGGTGAGCTCTGAGTGGGCCTGGGATGAATTTACAGGTCAGATAAGCTGGTCAGGACAGGCTCCTGGGCTCTTGGTCCTTGACTGCTGAAGCAGGTATGAATAGGAAGCCAACTTGCTGGTGCCTCAAGGCTGTGCCTGCCACAGGCTTGAGAAACTGCCTCAGTTGTCCTGTCTGGGGCTTCCTCCTTGCACCCCCTGCCAGAAGGCCAGAACCTGAACCTTACTTTCTCCTTCAGTGTGGCCACTCGGATTGAGCAGCGAAAGAAAATGAACTGCAAGTCCTTCCGCTGGTACCTGGAGAATGTCTACCCAGAGCTCACGTGAGTGCGGCCCTCTCTCTGCCTTAGTAGAGGGTAGTGGTGGCAATGGTGGCTTTGGGGATGCCACCACCCTTAGGTCTCCCATCCCAGATAGAGTGACTCTTTCTGGCTGCTGGTGTTTAGCTTGTGAAGACTCTTGGGATGCTGAAAGGCATTACTAAGAGTTAGAAATGAAAAGTGGAATTTTTAGCAGACTGGGTTGTCCCCTTAAATGGCCAACCCCTTTGACCTTGTTCTCTCCCTCCTGGGAATGTATCCCAATGAAATTAAGCAACCAAAGCAAAAAGCTGTTGGCAAAGAGATATTCATTACAGCCTTCTCGACTGCTGTGGGGGGAAAAAAAGAAGAAGAAATAGCTAACACTGGAGCTGAGTTTAGTAAATCTCCATATATCAGTTTACACAAATCTTATGCAGCCATTAATATTATATCACAAAGACTGTGAAAAAACACGGGAAATGTTTGCTGTAGCAAATGCAGAAGGGAAATGCAAGTTGGGTGTGAACAGGGTTGTTGTGTAGTCTAAACAGAACTCTGCCTAATAAGCAAGAAAGGCTGGGGGCAGGGAAGAGGAGATTCTTACTGCTTTTCAGTGTCTTGGTTACATCCACATCGCTCGCTTGCTCACTTCTTCAGGTCTTGACTCCAATGTCCTCTTTTCAAAGAGACTTCCCTTGACCACAGCAAATTTGCTACAATACCCCCTCCCCAGCATTTCCTGCTTTATTATTTTTTTCTATTTAGTGAGATTCTCCAGTTACTTTTGTTAACTGTCCTCCCCCACTTAACCACAAACTCCATGAGGGAGTTTTGTTTTGTTCTCGGCTTTATCTCTAACATTCTAGACCATGCTTGTCATAAACTAGGCACTCACTAAATATTAATGAATGAATAAGTTGCATAATCAATACAGCTAAATAATGTCTTTGAATTAGCATTCTCCTTTCTACAGCAGTCACCTTGGGGGCTGAGGTCATTCCACCGTAGACAGCTTTCTCACAAGGATGCTGGTTTAGCTTTCCGGAACATTCCTCCTCTTTCATAGTTGCTCTCAGAGCTCTCGTATCCTCAAAGGAGGCACATCTTTGTCCTTTGAGGACAGACCCAAGTCCAGTGAATAGCTGGATGTTTAACCTAGACCATAGTATTCTGGGTCCTAAATAATATATGACAATAAAGTAAGAAGACTAAAACTGACTGGGAGCGATTTCCAAGGAACTCCAAAACAATTTGAGCAAAGGCAGCATCCTTGAAGATAGTCCCCGCTCCCCAGGCAGTAACTTTGAAGGGAGGAACATTAATTTTTTAAAACGTAATAAATGAACAACTTCCTGAAGTGACTACTACAAAAGGGGACAGCAGTCATTCAGATGTGTTATTTGTTGAGACAAATAAGGGAAGAGTCATTTCTTCACATTCTGACAGAGCTCAAACAACACTGGATGCAAGTTCTAGATTAGACGTAGGGCACAGAAGGGTGGGAAGCCTGTCCTTGCCAGACTGCAGCACCTCATCCACATACCTGAGAACCAAGAGCAATTAGTTTGTAATTATCAGAATCACAGATAAGTCACAAAGCAGGAAAAGTTGCCTCCCATTTGCTCTGGTACTGTGTTGTTTTGCTATTCTGATAGAATGCCCACTACTGGATTCTATCAGATGGCTCTCCCTCTAGTCAACTCTAGTCATATCCTGCCTCCATTCTCAGGGTGAGGGGGCAGGAGTGGATCCACTGGTTCCTTAGCAATGAGGCTGCTAACCTCAAGGTTGGCAGTTCAAAACTACCAGCTGTTCAGCGGGAGAAAGATGAGGCATTCGGCTCCTGTAAAGATTTACAGCCTCAGAAACCCTGTGCAGGGTCACTATGAGTCGGAACCGACTCCACGGTACTTAACAACAACAACTATAGGCACAAATGATATCAGTTTCCCTCTAAATGGGATCCTAGTAGTCGTCCATGCCTATAGATGGTCAGTGGGGGAATTCTCAGAAAAGGCTAAAGGAAGAGGCCTTTGCTTTCCTAGGCCTGCCTGCCATCCTGCAGGGCTCTGCTACAAATCAAGGTTGATATCTGCAGCTGGCCTCAGCAACTGTTCCTCGTGTTCTACCAAGAACAGCTGTTCAGACTATGCATTGCATTATCACACCACATCTGTTAGAATGCTGGTCACACAGCAGACAAGGTACGTTTAAATAACACTCCTTGGAAGAGAGCAGTCAACTAACTCTCTTCTAACAAAGCCAGTATATAAAAAGACAATCTTTTAACGGATGGAACTGAGTGTCTGGAAGGAGCACCTATTGCTAGTTCTACAAAGACAGTGTGAGGGCTAATGGCAGCCCTGCCTAGCACAGATGCATAAAGTTGCAAGCAGATGAAAACATCTTAACCTGGCCTTACCAGGGAACTAGGAAGGGTGGTGATGTGTGTGACCAGCTCAGCTGCTCCAAGGCCGCAGTTCCACATCAATACCGTGAGTTGCAACTGCCCTCCAAGCTGCTGTTTGAGCCCAAGCTTTCCTCTGTAAGCATCAGTGAGTGCCATTGGCCATTGCCACACTGTAAGCTGACCAGCTTGCCCTCCTCACTAAGCAACAGGGGATGGGACAAGAAAGAGAGTAGGATGGTCTTGACCAGTCTCTGGACCCTTCACTGCATTCCCCCAAAGCACAGTTCTCAAAGAGGATTCAGCAAGCAAGGGACTTGGGACATGATCATGTTCAACGGTCCAATGCTGATTCCTATGAGGGGAGATCAGATCTTTTGACCAATTCGGACAGTAGTCGGACCTCCCACAGCATTCTCTATTTCTCTGCTGGTTCAATAATCCATTTCAATGGCCACACAGAGCTCAGACCAAACTCACAGTTAGAGGGCTTAGTAGAGACGGAATGGGTTGCAATTCAGGATCAGGAATGACTCAGGTTACAGTTCTTCAATCAGGACAGCTTCTTGGCTGTGCCCACAGGCAAGACTCTCCTTGGATTGCTTGGGCAAGGGTTGCAAAGCTGTTTAATTCTTAAGCACACTGAGGCATCCACTCCATCAGTAAGCCTTAGCCCAAAGGTGCTCAGTTTTCTTGCTCTGTGGGTTGGCACACCTCACTCCATAGGCTGGGAGACCTACTGAATCATCTTGTGCCTGTCTCCTGATTCTGCTGCTGCCAGTTCTCTCCCCAGGCTTCCCTCTTTCAGGATTGAGGAGTCCTGAGTTTCTGCCTGAGCTCTCTGGCCCAGATCCTTCCACTGTGTCTCTGACCTGGCCTCACGGAGCTGCTTCCAAGCCGAGGACCAGGCCCAGTCTTCTTGCTCCCTCATAGTCTTCTGCTCACCTCCACTGCTTCCCTGGAGACCTCTGTCTTCTAGTAAGCCTGGGGCTGTGGGCAAGGACCACCCTGACTACCACCTTTTCTCTCAGTGTCCCCGAGAAGGAAGTGCTCCCTGGCATCATAAAGCAGGGCGTCAATTGCTTAGAATCCCAAGGCCAAGACGCAGCTGGTGACACCCTGCTTGGAATGGGGATCTGCAGAGGGTCTGCCAAGAACCCACCTACGGCCCAGGTAGGTACTGAGGCCCTCTGGGCAGGACTGAAAGTGGGAGGAGCCAGTGGTATTGCCCAGGCGTTGGGTGAGGGACTCGCTGCTGCTCATTCTCATCCTGTCTGCACGCTCCTCCGCATGCTCACTTTCCCAGGGTGCTCAAGCTGTCCCCTCCCACTCTTGACTTGGGTCTACTCCTGTGATGTTTGCATCCCCTCCTAGCCTGTCTCACAGTCTCCCTCTATGCACCAGACAGCTCCCAGTCCTCTCCTGGGCCACAGCTTGTACAGTAGGCTGCTGGACATCCAGCACTGTGTACGTGTTCATGCAGTGTGTACACACAAGGGCAACATCTGTGCATCCATGAGGACATCAAAGCCAGACCGGTCAGAGACCCCAACCTTGCCCAGCTCCCTGGCTGCCCCTCCCCTTCCCTCTTCCATGGCCCTCTGGCCAACTTCAGCTCAATGCCACACATACCCCAACATTTTATTATGACCAATGTCAATCATATAGAAATGTTGAACAAGTTGTACCATGGATACCCATACACCCACTGTTGGCTGTCTGCTGTTGCTGCTGTCCAGTTATTCCTTCCAGGCTGATCTTACTTTGTAGCTCGGGCTTTCTGGCCTCTGTTTTGCAGGAGTGGCTGTTCAGTGACCATCTCATCCAGCAGCAAGGGAAGTGCCTAGCTGCTGCTTTCCCATCCCCTGGTGCCCTGGTCGCACTGCAGGTGTGCAACCCAAAAGAAGGCAGTCAGGTAAGCCTCATCACTGTGACTGTGAACATTGCCACCCTGGCCCCTGGGGACAAGATAGCCAGCAGCCCAGGACCAGACATATAGACTCAACTCTCCAGAGTGTCTGTGGGGGCCTAAGCCAACATCTGTTGGTATTAGTTGCCGTTGAGTTGATTGTGACTCATGATGGCTCCCTGTGGGTCAGAGAAGAACTGCTCCATAGGGGTTTTAGAGGTTAACTTGAGAAATAACTTACCAGGCCTTTCTTCCAAGGTGCTTCTGAGTGAATTTGAACCTCCTACTCTTTTGTTAGCAGCCGAGTGCATTAACCACTTACCTCATAGAGGCTGTGCTAACAGTTCTACATGGATCATCTTGATGTGGGTCCTAGCACTATTCCCATTTTATAGGTGAGTCAACTGAGGCTCACTGAATTTAAACTGTCTGTCGAGTCACATGGCTAGTCAGGGGTAAAAAGTGATTCAAACCAGGTCAGTGTGACGCCTATGCCCTGCTTTAATCCAACACATATTAGATACTCCATCAGTGTTTCGTGTCTGACTGCCTCGGGAATGGAGACTTGATACAGGGATTTCTAAGCAGCAAGGAGCAGCCTCTTTCCATTTGTGTTCTCACACATGCTCGCTCCATCAAGGAGGAAATAGGTGCTGAGAGAGAAGATGTCACTTGCTCAGAGCACACAGGGCTGGAGCTGGAGGCTGGCTCCCTGCAGAGCAGCAGCTCCCCAATTGCTTTCTAGAATCTGGTCCTCTCTTGGAGTTCATGTATTTGAGACTTCGGTGAACGAGAGCAGGTGTGAGGGAGTCCAGATCAGACATGTCCCTCACCTCTGAGGCTCAGTCTCCCCACATATAAAAGAGGGCCTCCTCCCCTGCCTCCCTCACAAGAAATCTCCAGGAAGAAGCTCTGGCCAGACCCAGCACTGAATGTCCAGGAGAGCGGTGAGACCCGAGATGTGCTAGATGGTGCTGGAGGGAGACTCCTGCAGTTTGATGAGAACCTTCTAGTGATTGGGTGATGGATTAATTCATTCCTTCATCATAAAACTAACATATGTGCCAGGGAATGTATAGGTCATGTTGGTGTCAAAAATGAAAAGACAGGGTCCTTGGCCCCAAGGAATTTACAGTCTAGCGAAGGAGAAAGAGGAAGGAGCAGTGATGTGTTATAGAGGGCTGAATGCTGCTGTGGCCCCAAGCATGGTCTATGAAGTCCAGTGGAGCACCCTGTAAAGCAGAATTGGTCACTGAGACATCCTGGGGGATGGGGGGATGGCCACACTCTCTCCAGCTGGCATTGCCTGGAGGTAAATACAAGAGCACAAAGCAGAAGGATGTTGTGAGTCTCAAAGGGGACAGTGACCCTCTCCCATCAATTCCTACTGCTCTTTATACAGGGACCCCCTCTTTGTTGGGGTCACAGGGGCCCAGAGAGTCTGGTCCTCAGTCATCACCTCTCACAGCCTTACATTCTCAAGGGGAGTCCAGGATCCACTGCCCCCCACCTTCCTTCCTGTGTGCCCAAGTGTGTTCCCTTCTCTGCCCACCCTACATCCCCTGCTGCTCTAGCCCTGGGACTGCAGCTGGTCTCTTCTAGCTGCTCCAGTAAGAACACAGATCCTTCCCCTTAGAGACCACTGCACTCATTCCACCTATTCCGAATACCTCCCATCTCTTAGGGATGACAAGCAGCTAGACGTGCCTGGCTATATGAAGGGGAGAAACCAAAATAGGCCTCTATGGCTATTTCTTCTTCCCTGAGCCTTGAAACACAGTTCTCACCCTCATCCTTTCTAAGTATTTTAACAACACTCCAGCCTCTATCCAAGCCCTTCCAACATGTTTTATAGGAATAACTCTTCTTCTCTTTGTCAAAGCTGGGGAAGATGAGATACCAGGAGGTGAAGGTACTGATCTGGGAGCCCCTTCAGGAGTCTGTGATAGAGGAACTTAAGTCTTCCCACTCCCATCCATCTGGCCGCAGTCTTCATTTTTGCAAAGATTGCAGCCAATTCCCTCTAAAGTGTGTAGATAACTGGCCTCATGGTTTGGGCCAGGTCAGAATCATAGGGCTGCAAGGAGGAAAAATCTTGTTTGAAGAAGATTCACATAGGCCAGGACTCACAAATTCAAATCCTATGGATAGCTGGTGGTTAAGAAGTATAGTGTAGACTAGCAGCCCCAATGGTGAACTGAGAACAAAAGCCCCAACCAACTGATGTAACATGGGACACTTCCAATGCTTAACGAGAAGCTGCAAGTAATGTTTTCACAGGGTAACTAAACTAGATTTTAAATAAATACTATGCAGGCCAAGGAGACCCTGGTTGGTACAAACAGGTGATGCACTCAACTGCTAACTGAAATTGGCAGTTTAAGTCCATCCAGAGCATCTTGGAAGAAATGTCTGGTAATCTACTTCCAAAAAACAGCCAATTAAAACACTATGAAACACAGTTCTACTCTGACACACATGGGGTCAGAATTTACTGGGAGACAACTGGTTGGTGGGTTGGTGCAGGACAAACAGAGTACATCTCTGGGTTGCATTCAGTCTGTGGGCATCTACTTTGCTTCCTCGGGTCTAGACAGTCACCTCATGCAAACTACAAAACAGCGTCATTGGGAGGCAACAGGTTGGAGGCTTTATATAAGGTCTCTTTTTCAATGAGGGAGATACAAAGTAATTGGCGCTGTAGGATAACAAGGTTGGCAATTCAAAAACCCACTAGCTGCTTTCAGAAAGCCTATGCAGGGTCACTTAAGGAGCTCTGGTAGCGTAGTGGTTACGAATCGGGCTGCGAACCTTAAGGTCAGCGGTTCGAAACTACCGGCCGCTCCGCGGGAGAAAGATGAGGCTTTCTACTCCCGTAAGGATTTACACCCTCGGAAACCCTGTACAGGGTCGCTATGGGTCGGAACCGACTGACGGCACTTAACAACAACAACAATGCAGGGTCACTTAGCTACCACTCTAAATCATTGTTTTCTCCCCTACCTCTAGAAGTGGAGGAGAAAAGGCTCCTTCATCCAGCAGTCGGTCAGTGGACTCTGCCTGGAGATGCAGCCCACACAGCTGGTGACCAACAAGTGTCAGGCCGACACCTCAGCCCAGCAGTGGCAACTGCTGCCACACACATGACTGTAACCCAGGACCTCCTGAACCTTTTGCATGAGACTTTGGGACCGGAAGGGGGTTGGGGGTGGGAGTGTAAAGCGGGCTGTCTCCATCTCCTCACATTTCTGCCGGAATCATCAGCAAACACCCCTGCCCCCGCACACGTTTCTCCAAAGCTTGTACTGGGAAGGCATTTGGACCCAGGACCATGCCCTAATGACCTCTCTGCTGTCCTGGCCTTGCCCTGGGAGAGGAGATGGTCAGGATGTTGGACTGTAGCTGGGCGAGCTGGTCGGGTGCCCCTGGACCTTGTTCTCTCCTTCACCCCTTCTGTGGACCTGCCCTTTGTTGACTGCGGGGGGTGCCCAGCTGGGTCATGGAGCTTCCCTGTTGTGTCAAAAATGTGAGAGAAGACAGGGGACATCATGGATAGAGACATGAGGGGAGGGGCAAAGAGAGGGAGGGAGAGAGGCAGCCTGCAAAGGCAGGTAAAGAACAGGAAGGAAGTGACCCATCAGAGATGCCGAGCCTGGTGGGGACTGGGTTGGTGAGGGGAGAAATGGGGTCCTGGAGCAAAGAATGGATAGTTTACAGAAGAACACAGAAGAGCAGCAAAACCCCCAAAGAACAAGCTCTCCTCCCTCAGAGGTAGTTTCTCCCCCACTTTGACAGCCCCAGAACCTCAGCTCAACGCTTTACTCCAAGCCCTGCTGCTTTGGGGTCCCTAGATGCTTAGCAAGAGAATGCAGATGGGTATTTCGGGGCAGCCTTGGAACAAGTTTATCCAACAGACCCCACTTCCGTTTGCCCTTGTGTTAGGCCAAGGCCTCTCCCTCAAGCCTTAATGACCAGCTGGTACCCTGTCCTATGTCCCATAGACAACCCTTCTTTGTTCTTAGTTTCCTACCCCTTGTTCCTCAGAAGTCTTTGCCTCTGTAAGCACAGCATGATGGGGTCAGAGTGACAGGAAGCATGGGATCTCCTTTCTGGAGTGTGAACATCACCTAAGTTGTTAGAGGGGCCTTCAGACTAAGTCCAGTCCTCATTCCCCCTCTCCACTCTAGAAGTCATTCCCTAGCAGGCACCCATTGCTGTTTCTATCTCCTCCTCATAGCCCCTGAGCCTCTTTTCTTCCTGTCCTATGACCTTGGAATGGCTTCTGTTGTCCCCATGCCCTTCTTTCCCTACCACACTGGCTCAGAAAAAACTGTTGGTCCCAAGATTCAACCTAACTCCAGGAGCCCCCTGTCCTTCATAGACCAGTGATCCACATACCCCTAGGGAGGTATGTTTAGATTCTAGAGGGCAAGGAATCTCCTGAAAGATCCAAAAAGACAGCATTTACCTAGGGAGACCATTCTTGGCTTTTCTCAGCTTCTTGAATCCCCTCATTTCCAAAGAATGCTCCAGAACTTAGCCACCATCACCCATCTTCCTCCTTTGTGTGCCCAAACTGCCATCTTCCTGCCCTCTCCACGCAGTCCTTGGGCAGGAAGCCAAATTTCCCTTGTTCAAATGCCCACCCCATAGGGTTCTCCACTGCTATCCGCTCACCCCACGGCTCCCCTAGCGCTTTCTCATCAGTGCTCTTGTGCCCCAGTGCGTGCATTCCCCAGTCTCTGTTCTACCTTCACCCTCATGACCACGTCTCCATCCTTTATTGTGATGCTTCTTCCATCTCCACGGACCTGGGATTGCATTCACCTGGGATGCCTCCTGCTTCACCTTAGGACATAACTGGGACAGGGGGGCGGCCTCTACCTTGAGGATGGATTCAAAGGGCTGGACCACCCTCAGTCATAGACCTTTGGGGGTGGGGATCACTTGATGACTATAAGTGGACTGTTACTCAGAAGGTCTTTGAGGGTCTCTCCCTCATGCCTGTGTCTTGACCAGGCTCTGAACTTGCCAGCTGTCCTTTGTGGGGACTCAGCCATATTCTGTTTGCTTTTCCTCTTCTTCACCAAAGCATGTGCCACTGGCTGTCCTTGAGGACCTCATCTTTATGAAATACACACCTGGAATAAAACCACTTCACATACGCTCATGTGCACCAGCGCCTTCCTTTCTGACTGCAGAGCCAAGCCATCCAGCACCACCCTTCACCTCTAGGGGAAGTCGGGACCTCTGTTCTGTGAAAGGGAAACAGCACATGTACAAGTCCAACCCCTCCTGTGCCTGGTATCTTGCTCCTCAGCCTACATGCTCTGTAGTTGCCCAGGGGCTCCGGACACAGCTGACTGCTCTTGCCACCCAGAAGCCTGAGACCAGAGCCCAGCAACCAGCTGATGTCAAGATAAGTCCTGGTTCCTGTTGCATCATTGTAGGACCCTCCTTTAAAACCAAACCGATTGCCATGAAGTCAATTCCAAGTCCTATGGGTCATCTCATGTTGGTCAGAATAGAATTTCGCTCCATAGGGGCACCGTGACTGTAACCTTTTGGAAGCAGAACTCCAGGCCATTTTCCAAGATGGCCATTGGTGGAGGCTCAGACTGCCAGTATTTTGGTTAATAGGTAAGCACTTAACCATTTGTGCCACCCAGGCAGCTGGGACCCTACTTAGGAATTGGAAATGGGAACCAAGGACTTTCCCCCCAATGGGTATCATCCTATCACCCTCTCTTCTCTCTGGGCTACAACCCGACTCTTTCTGAGCTGCCCTTCAGGTGCCCCCTCTCCACACCACACAACACCTACAGACTCCTTTGTCACATAAGACAGTGGTAAAAATTCACACTAGGGACAATCTTCCCAGGTAAAAACAAAATAATTCCAGAAAGAGTTTCTACCAGCCAGCCTAGCTAGCTTTGCTTGATTGGGTAGCAGATGTGCTGCCTATTGTTTCCATGGAAACCAATGGAAAACTCCCACCATTTCTGTGATCAGAAGCTGAGCTTACTCAGGTAAAAATAAACACTGCTTCTGTGCACATATGAACCACAGCCAAAGCAAAGCAACCTCTTCTGAGCAGTCATCTGCACCCCAGCCCCACCTTGCTTTGTGATTGAACACCCCAGATTCCCTAGAAATTCTCACCCCAGGCCTGAAGTCAGTTCTGAGGGGACACAGTGTGGCTACAGTGTCCCGCTCGGTCTGGGCTTAGGAGGTGTGTTAGAGTCTGTCTGTCCATTCTATGCAGGGAGCACCACCACTGCCCCTCACCTCTGGGCCTCCCTGTTAACCAGACTGGGCTAGCCTTCCATTGCCAGTCGTTTTCCCTCCCAGCCTTGAACTGGTACACTGTCTCCTCCTGGGCTGTTCTCTCTCTCTTACTCTCCTCTGATTCTCCCTCTCCAGAAACCCATTTTCTCTCTCACCTCCTTATTAGTGAGGAACTAATACTACCAGACTTTCGCCAGCCACTGAAGGGATCAGTGAAGCTCTTGGACTGGTCATTAACCACAGGCCCTATATAACCAGACAGAAGAGCGCATGCCCTGAGCACTCAGAGTAGCGACAGGTGGGAGCAATATCTGAGACGGCTTCCTGGCTTCAGTTTCCACAAAGACTCTTCCCTCTGACCCCTTGGCAGAAATTTTTCCAAACACCTTGGGGGAAATGACCCAGGCAACATCACCGGCCTTCAGGGGTTCCGGCACTCCCCAGGATGCTGTGGGAAATGTCTTCCTGCTTTGCATGGTGATGTGGTCTTCTCTCACCAGGACAAGAAGAAAACCTATGGCTGGAGTTCACCATGACCACAATGTAATTGCTGACAGTATTCTCGATGTGTTGATAGTTCTGTGTGTCCCACATGATGGTCTGAGTCAATGTTCCTTCACAAGGAAAGAGAAGGGCCCAAACACTTTCTGTCATCTTCAAGTGTCTTCACTGTCAGGCACTTAGTAGGGAAAGGCCTGCTCTTGGTCTGGCAGCTGAGCTGTTTGAAGAGACTCCAGAGCCATCTGAGGACAACCCTGGCCTATTGAATTTCATCTCAGTAAAGTGTTGTAGGAGAATGAGCTCTAGAGGCCTGAACTGCCGGGCTCTACCACTTACTAGCTGTGTGACCTTGAATCGGTTACTCCATCTCTCAGTCATGGTTTCCTTGCCTATAAATGGGGTACAAATAGCCTCAGAAAAATCCCTGAGAAGTGCAAGTGCTTGAATAACCAAAGGTTTGGTGGTTTGAGCACAGAAGCACCTCAGCAAACAAGCTTGTAAATCTTTTTCTGAAAGATCACAGCATTGAAAACCGTATGGAACACAGATCTACTCTGACACACATGGGGGTTGCCATGAGTTAGAATGGACTCAACGTCACTTTACAGCAACAACATAGCCCTTCAGAATTGTGAGGCCTGATGTAGATAATAATTGCAAGGCACTCTGCCCTTTCTAAATGCTTAGTACATGTTACTATTTTCTTTGAGGGGTGTGTGTGTCTATGTTCCTATTGCTAATCCATTTCCTTTGTGCTTGTGTCAGGAATTTTGCTAAAGATAATGACACAACCGTAAATAAGAAAAATGTCCTCAAGGAACTTATTCTAGCGGGAGAGGCAGACAAACACACCGGCAACTATGATATCATGTGACAAAACCACTCGGTGGTGGTGGTTAAGGGCTGTCAGGTCGGTTCTGACTCACAGCAACCCTGCTTCTGAGGAGCACCTGGTGACTTTGAACAGCTGACCTTGCAGTCCAGTGCTTTATTCCACAGCACCACACCAGGACTCCAATTCAGACATAGAAGTATGTAAACTAAAACAAACCTACAAGACTGAAAATAAGGAACTAGAGTTATCAATTTATAATTAAATCAACTACAAAGCAAAAAGAGGGAATAGTGCAGATATAGAACTTCCAAATGGCAAGGAAGTCAGGTAGATTTCAAGATAAAATGGACTGTTTTAAGCAGGGGAAAATTTAATAAATCACAGAGTAATCTCAAAGGAAAATAATACACCTACACATCAAAATTTTTTAAATTAGAAAGATTTAGTAAACATTAATGCAATGAAAGGAGCTCTGGTAGCGTAGTGATTACGAATCGGGCTGCGAACCACAAGGTCAACAGTTCGAAACTACCAGCTGTTCCACGGGAAAAAGATGAAGCTTTCTGCTACCGTAAAGATATACAGCCTCGGAAACCCTGTACAGGGTCGCTATGAGTCGGAACTGACTCCACGGCACATAACAACAACAATGCAATGAAAATAAAACTCACAAACAAAATGAACTCAACATAGAAAATTATATGGAACAAAGAATCCAGCAGCACCACACACACACACCAAAAAAAAAAACAGAAAAATGGCAACAATCAATTCATACCTATTAATAATTATACTGAATGTAAATGGATTAAATATACCAGTCAACAGACATAAGAG